ACACCATCACCATCATGGTCACTAACATCGTACGTACTCTAAACATGCACGGCTTCAGAGTGAAAATGAAGGAGAGTGCTATTCTATGCGGTATGGGGGTGGATGCCCCCCCGACACACGTCATGATCGAGTCTCCGTCGCAGGGCACCTTGCGCTTCCCCGTGGTAGACGAGGCGGTGGTTCTTGGGACCAGATTCGACAGGGAAGGTGGGACTACGATTTCATTTTCGCACAGATTTCTTAAAGCCGAGGGGAACTTGGGCAAAATCACCCCACATCTGTTGAATCCGAGGGCCAGCTGGGAGGCCAAAGCTCGGGCCTTCAGCCGGGGCCCAGTGGCCAGCGCTTTATATGACTGCCAAGCATGGATACCGACACAAGCACGTTTACAGCAACTCCGGGCCTGGGAAGACAATGTGCTGCGTAAGTCGTTCAAGCTTAAACATCTACCCCAAGAAGGCCATCTTGGTTATAATAGTCGTACTGCTAGGCTCCTGGAAGGCCGCTTCGCCACGTGGGAAATCCCGCATGTCCATCACCGTTGGTTGCGTATGTGCCATCGCTGGCGGTATCGATCTTTCCATTGGTCATGGGGTCTAGATGCCCAGGGTATGCCGGAATACCCGCTTCGAGAAGTTGCTCTTTTCCGTCGAGGGGAGCATGCGGTGGGGGTGGCAGAAGCTCGTCATAGTACTAGGGTTCGAGAGGATTCTGCTGGGGATTGGAGGTATCGTCGTCCAGGGGCCCTTGTGTTCCAGGTGGAGGATGTTTGGGATGAATATTTCAAGGAGTGGGAGGAGTTGATGGAGGCCGGGGCAACTGTTAGGAAAACTACGGAGGACCAGTTCGTAAACAGCCTGTGCATCCAGTGGCAACTTCCGCGCTGGAATCGCGACTTGGCTCTCCAGACGGACGTCGCTCGAAGGATGCCGGTGGAGGGGGCCAGCAGCCTCCGCCCTGCCAAACGAAAGCGTGACCACGATGATTCCGTCAGCGCTGATCGAAAAAGGGCCCGTCAAGGGCCGGCTGAACCTGCAATAGTGGACGTGGCCCTCGGTCCAGAAAATCGGGAATGGACAAGTATTTATTTTGATTCGACCGCGTCGCATTGGTCTACAGAGAGAATATTTTCGGCCCTCGGCTTCTCGCCTCTTCCGTGCGATTGCTCCTGGACCCCGCCCGAGGAGGCGACCAAATTCTTCCAGTGTGTTGTAGATAACAAACCTCTGGCTGGGGCCTTGAACGGATCTTCTTTCTGCAGGTTCGAACACATCGACATGTTGTCCCCGACTGCTGATTTGTTGCTGCATGCATTTATGAACGGGCGGAGGGCGCCTCACGTGGTGGACTCCCCTCTGGTATGGAGGCGTCGGGATCTGAATACCGAGGCTGATTGGCTGTGCAATCTCACCATGGATAGCCAGGAGTCTTTTATCTGCCTTAGTCCTTCTTGGTCTTCCTTCGTCGGTACTCCCCATCACTGTCTCATGCACTCGGACGGCGGCTGGCGGAAGCGTGGCCGGGCAGGGATCGGCTTCGCGCTTCGAGTTCGTACGGCTGCTCACTGTACGTGGCAATTGTTGGCTTTCGGTTGCTTATGGCGGCCGCTTCTCGCCGACAGTTGGGAAGCAGAGGTGGAGGCACTGCGCACAATTATCTTGATCTTCTCTGTCTTACATGATCATCATCTCAAGTTTAGCCTAACACAGCTGCGTAGCATGTTTCACTGTTGTATATATCATGGCAATGTGTGCGCGAAGTACTTGCATTAGGTTCCAGGGCAGGCAAACACAGTGACGGTAAGGCAGCTCTTGGGGCATAGCCGAGTCGAAATAACAACAACATATGTATGTATGTATGTATGTATGTATGCATGTATGTATGTATGTATGTATGTATGTATGTGTGTGTATGTCTGTGTGTCTGTGTGTCTGTCTGTCTGTCTGTCTGTCTGTCTGTCTGTCTGTCTGTCTGTCTGTCTGTCTGTATGTATGTATGTATGTATGTATGTATGTATGTATGTATGTATATATAGGGGTGTTGGGGGGAGCCTCTCGGGGGCCTCTTGAAGGCGGTTTGGACGCCTCTTGGGGGCCTCCAGGGGCCTCGTGGGGTATCTTTTGGGCTTCATTGAGGCCTCTTGGGCGTGTCTTGGGCGCCTCTTGGGGCCTCTTCTAGGAGATCGTGGCCTCGGGGGGGCGAATTTGGTGCGATTTACAAACAAGGATCGTGTCTTCGGGGGCGCGAATGTGGCGTAATTTACGCGGGGTCGTGGCCCCTGGGGCGCGAATTTTGCGCGATTTACAAAGGATCGTGTCTTCGAGGGCGCGACTGTGGCGTAATTTACGCGGGATCGTGGCCTCGGGGTCGCGAGTGTGGTATAATGTATGGGAGATGTGGGGGCAATGTGCAAGGGATCTTAGCTTCGGGGGCGCGACTGTGGCGTAATCTACGGGGGATCGTGGCCCCAGAGGCGAGAATGTGGTATGATTGACAGGGGATCGTGGCCTCAGGAGCGTGAGTATTGTGTATTGCGTGAGGGATCGTGTCTTCGGGGACGCGAGCACAGCGTAATTTACGATGGATCTTGGCCTCGGGGGCGCGAACACAACGTAATTTACGAAGGTTGATTGCGTCGGGAGCGCGAATCCTAAATATTTTCATGTGTCCCAAAGCACGCGATTCGGGGACGCTAGCCAGGCTAGTTTTCGGCTCCCCCCCCTCGCGCGGACAGTCACAACTTACAGTAGGAAACAGAAGCCAATAACCGCATGCCGATGATAATAAAGGGACCCCCCCCCTTCAGTGTTTAGAGTTGATTATCGTCGCCCTATACAAAATTCAATTTGGGCGGCGATCGCTGAGGCCGAACTTCATTATCACCTCGAAACGCTATGTTGAGATAGCAACATCAAGCGATGATGATATAGCAACATCAAGCGAATCGATCACACTTTTTCCGGATGTGTCAAGCGAAACCAATAATTTTGGGAGGCAGACTCAAACGAAACGAGCAATGTTTTTATTATTCTTCTACTTTCCTCTTCTTCTTTTATATTTCTATCTGTCCTCACGCTCGCCTGAACTTTTTTATCCCTGGGGTTGATTATCCATGGAAAATGAAGCACATGAGCTACCTTACACGAGCACTTAAAACATCAATTTTCATAAAGCGTTTGTAAATTAAAATTGATAGATTTGGAACTTTGGATTGTTCCTTTCTTCGTCCTCTTCTTATTCTCCTCTTCTTCTTATTTATTAGTATTCTTCTACTGTATTATTCTTCTTTTATATTTCTCTCTGTCCCCACGCTCGCCTGAACTTTTTTATCTCTGGGGTTGATTATCCATGGAAATTGAGGCACATGAGCTACCCTACACGAGCACTTACAAAAAATCAATTTTCATGAGAGATAAGCCATTGTTGAGGATATTTCTATGAAAACTAAACGCCAAGGATGTCTCAAAACGTGCTCGGCTTGGTCTCCTCTTGATCATCTCTTACTTCGAGATTCTGCTGAGGTCTGCTGGGCTACTTTTTATTATCTCTCCCTGAACCCCGAACTTTATTATCCCCTGGTGTTTATTCTCACGGGCATGAGGTTACTGTAACATTGGAAACTGGAAACTGGAACTGGCGCAGGGGGCAGCACACCTAATCCTCGCAGCCTGATGGTCCCGCAAGGGGGCTGGCGGACATATATATATATACATAGATATATAATATATAAATCAAGTTCGTCGGAGGGTGCCTGTATATATATGTATATGTGTATGTGTATATATATATCTAGATATGTCGATATACATATGTATATATAAAGTCCGTCGGAGGGTGTCTTTATATCTGTGTATGTATATATATATATGTATATATATATATATATTCATATATATATGTATATATATATATATTCATATATATATATGTATATATATATCTATATTCATATATATATATATATATGTAGTCATTCGTGGCGTGGAGTAGGGGAGGGGAACAGGGATGAGGCGGAGAGGGGAGAGGGGGAGGATGATGACGACGGCAACCCTGCCTCCAATCTGCGACCACAGCTCACCCGACCACTTCCCCCGGGACAACTTCTAGTGGCGGACCCCTTTGTGCTGGTCCTGGGGACTGAAGAGAAGTCGGCCCGATAGAGGGCCGGCAGAGGAAACAACAGCGGCCCAGTCAGAGCCCCGAATAATCAGGGCTGGGGGCGGTCAGGGATAGCTACCGATCTGCGCCTCTGGGGCCCAAACTGGAGTTACCCTGGCGGGCGTCCAACCCTCCTGAATCATCAGGGTTGGGTGCAGTCAGGGGTAATTGCAGATTCGCGCCTCGGGGGCCCAAACCGGAGTTACCCCGGACAGCAGTTATCCCGGATAAGTCGGGCGTCCAAAAACAATAGCGGCCCAGACCGAACAGAAAGCAATCCTCTGGATGTTTGGGAACGTCTTCGCCGCCGACGGCGACGACTCAGGGTCAGCGGCAGGAGCGGACTGGCTCGGGGGGGCAAGTGTCGACCCACAGTCGCCCATTCCTCGCCGATCGGGGCCTCGGTGCCCGAGCCTACCCTGGAACGCGGTGCCTCGGCATCGGGGGCCAATCGCCGATCCAATCGCCGATGCCATTGCCGTTGTTTTCCCCTGAGCGCTGAGCCAGTCCCTTTTCGGCAGCCCACGGCGACGACGGCGACGACCACACGGCGGCGGCGGCGGCGACGGTCCGTAGTCGCGGCGACGGTCACGACGATGACTACGACGATGAAGATAACGATGACGATGATGACGACGACCACAACACGACACTCGACGACGACAACGACGACGACGACCACTCGGCTACGGCGGTGATGACAACATGACGGCGGCAACCCGACGACGATAACGACGACGACGACGACGGCGACGACGACGACGACGACGACGACGACGACGACCGTACGCCGACGACGGCGATGCCGACGGCGGCGACGATCGCATGGCGGCCCTGTGGAGGACCCCGCGAGCCAGGGGGCCGCGCCCAGCAGCCAGGCAACATCGGACGAGGACTGGCGATGGCGCCGCCGTCGACGAATCGCAGTGTTGTCGTCGCGTCGCGTGGTTGTGGTGGTGGTGGTGGTCGTCGTCGTCGGCTTTAAAATGCCGCCGTCGTGCCGCCGCCGTCGTGTGGTGGTCGTTATGGTCGTCGTCGTTGTCTCCCCCGCCGTCGTGTGGTCGTTGCCGTCGTGGTCGCGCGATGGCGGTGGTCGTCGTCGTGGCCCGCGGCGGGCTGCCCCGAGCTTTGGTCCCTTCCGCGCCGCACGAGCTGTGTACACCCAGGCGGGCTCAATGCGCCCCATTGCTGCGTCCTCGCTCTCCCCCCCCCGTCGCCGCTCGGTCCAAGACGGGGCGGGGGCCGAGGGGGGACGAGGCGAGGAGGAGCCGGAGGAGCTCCTCCTCCTCCCTCTCGTCCTCGTCTGCATCCTCGTGCTGCTCGTCGTCTTGTTCTGTCCTCCCCCTCCCGTCTCCCCCTCCCGCCCCGCCTCGCCCTCCCGTCTTCCCTCTCGCTTCCTTTCTCAGTGACCCACCCGCGACCCACTTGTGACCCACCCGCGACCCACCCAGCGACCCACATACGTTGCTTTAACGACAATCGGCGCCTGCGGCGGGCTCGTTGTATAATTTGTAAAAGTTCGGTGCATACGGTGGGCTTTTGCAGAACCTCGCAGACTGCCGACGTCCCCGCCGCCCCCTGTCTCTTATCCGCGATTGCGGGGTGCTAAATACTTACAGCTGACAATTTACATTGTGCTGCAGTGCGCCTCTGGCTGTTGCGCAGGCACGTGATTCAAGGGCATGGGCGTTGCCGCCAGATAAGAGGACGGACACCCCGACATTATTGAACTAGAGGGATGAGACGAACGGGCGAGAGGGAGGGGGAGGATAGTGCGAGGAGGGTGAGGAGGTGGAGGGACAGGATGATCAGGACCATAAGGGGGGGTGACGATAAATGGGTGGAGAAGGAGGATGATGAGGAGGAGGAGGAGCAGGAGGAGGAAGAGGAGGAAGAGGAGGAGGAGAAGGAGGACGAGGAGGAAGACGAGAAAAAGGAGGAGGATGAGGACGAATAATAAGACGACGACGAAGAAAACGAATAATAAGACAACTAACAACAATAAAAAACGAGTAATGGTATCAATAAACATAACACTACTATTGATAATAAGTGTATTCGTACGAAAATTACCATCCATGAGACAAGCAGCAACAAGAAAACGAAACCTAAGCATCCGAATACTTAAAACATTACTAGAACTAATACTGCGAATAATGATGCTAAGAGTAGTATGTATATTAAGAAAAGAGAAACGAGTAATCAACATTATAGTACTAATTATAACAAGAAGAGTACTACGACTAATGATAACAGTAACAACACTAACAATGATAATAAGAAGAGGAGGAGGTGGTGGAGAAGGAGGAGGAGGGATCAAGGAGAAGGGGGAACGACGGGGAGGAGGTGGAGGAGGAGGAGGAGGTGGAGGAGGAGGAGGAAGAAGGTGGAGGAGGAGGAGGAGGAGGACGATGGAAGGAGGAGCAGGAAAGGCGATGCGGAGGACGACGACGATGCCGAGGAGGGCGATGGGCCGCGGGGCTGAACGCCCCCCCCGCCTGAGAGGACTCGGGCGCATCCCGGGGAGAGTACGCGGACAACGATGACTTGGACGGCCCCGGCCTCCTATAGACCGGGTCGGACTAGATGGGGTCGGAGGATCGTGCCGCATCGCCGATGCATCGCCGATGCGGCTCAATGTGGGGCCGGATTTGCTTCACATCGACGCCGCCGATGCATCGCCAATGTCGACGATGCATCGTTGGTGCATCACCGATGCATCGTTGATGCGCCGCCGACGTATCAGCGATGCGGCGCGATCCTCAGACCCCATCTAGGAGGCCTCTAGAGAGGGGGCAACGGAGCGATGAGACATGCTCGAGGTTCGAGATTCGGAGTCGAGTTTTGCGGGCGTTTCCGTCGATTCCCTCAGGGTTTCCCGCGTCGGGGCCTTCTGCCAGCAGATGCGCCTCGCCGCGAGCGTTCTGGGGGTGTCCAGATCGTCGTCTTCACGTATCCCCACTCCCGGAGTCTCACGGAACAAATTTCGAATCAATTCGCAGTTGATGCAGCATAGTATATGGTGTGATCAGGGGGGTGGGATCCTCTCTTGGTGGGCGCTCTTCCCCCTCCGCCTGCCCTTCCCTATCACGCGTATCTTTGTTACTGGGTGCAGCCGTGCCCTAGGTGTAGGTACGCACTTCACAGCTGTGCACGAGCAGGATGCTTGGCTTGGCCCGACAGCTATAGGGGTTAAGTCTCAACGCTTCGCGTATCTCCGCCAGCCATCCAGGAACGATGCCTAGTGGAGCTGCCCGTATCGGGGGAGCATGGCATCATTAGGACACCTCGGGGAGCCTTAGTTCCCCAATCAGAGCTTGCCTTTGTAGGGGTCCTAGCGGATTCATATGGTTAGGTTAGGTTTGCCGCCGCTTTTCGCCGCACGCCCAGGTGCCCGGGTGCCCGGGGTGCCCGGGTGCTCGGGTGCCCGGGTGCCCAGGAGTGCCCGGGGGTGCCCGGGGGGTGCCCTGTAGCCCTATAGCCCATAGCCCTATAGCCCTACAGCCCCATAGCCCTATAGCCCTGTATAGCTCTATAGCCCTACAGCCCTATAGCCCTATAGCCCTACAGCCCTATTACAGCTCTAGAGCCCTACAGCCCTATATAGCCCTATAGCTCAATAGCCCTATAGCCCTATAGCTCTATAGTCTTATAACCCTAAAGCCCAGTAGCCCTACAGCCCTGCAGCTCTGTTGCTCTATAGACCTATAGCCCTATAGCTCAATAGCCTCTAGCCCTATAGCGGTATAGCCCTATAGCTCTATAGCCCTATACCCCTATACCCTATAGCCCTATAGGCCTATAGCCCTGTAGCTCTATTACCCTATAGCCCAATAGCCCTATAGCCCGTATAGCCCTATAGCCCTACAGCCATATAACAAAATGATTGTTTTTTTTCTCCTGTATCATTTATTATTGGTGGTCTAGGGCGTCTAGGAGCACTCTCGGGGTTTACTGGGGGGCGTCTGGGGTCGTCTTGGGTGCCTCTCGGGGGCCTGTTGCGGGCCTCGCAGGGGCCTTCTGGGGCCTCTTGGGGCTTCTTTTGGAGCCTTGAAGACCTTCTCAAGACCATCTTGGGTGACATCGGTCAAAGAAGACGAGGGCCTTGATTGGCACCGCACCTCTGGAACTTCTTAACATCGCCTGCTCTTGGGTAGCGCTTGTTTGCTCTCGGGGCCGACTTGGAGTCCTTTTGGGCCCTCCTTGGGTCTCTCTTGGAGTCATCTCGAATTTCGTCGGATTTTTGGACGGATGCTGGTTTCTTTGGGGGCGTCTTGGGGGACCCCCACGATAACTAGGATCCGTCTTGGAACGGCCTTGGGACCTATTCGAGTATGTTGGGAGCCATCTTGAGCGATCCTGCGCTATCTTGAGCCATCTTGGAGGCCATCCTGGGCTATCTGGGGCTCTCTTTGGCCCGTCTTGGGTTCTCTTGGGCGCTCTCACTACCCGCTAACGCCCCCGTCCAGACCCAGTGAGAGGCCCCAAACCACCTACGCAGTAAAGGGCTGGTGGAATTGGAGAGCTCGCAGAGTTGAGAAACTGGTCGGATTCAGTTGTTTCGTTGTTGCTTTCGGATCTGGACTTCGGGCTGGCGCGCTCGCGCCCGCGTTCAGCGCAGCGCGATTCTGGTGCCGGTTCCCCTCCGGGGCTTGGCATCTTTTCGAAACGCCTTTCTGGGAAGTTCTCCCTTGCTTTACAGTCGGCACGGATTAGCAGGTCGACCCTGCCAAATCCAGGGCACTCTTGTGTCCTGTGCATCGCGCGGCGTGCCCTCTGCAGTCCCGGGGCATGGTGCCCTTGTTGGCGGCCGTCTTGCCGTCGGAAGAGTTTCCTGTCCTGCTGCGTGCGCTGTGCCATCCATTCTCTTGGCATCGCTCGGACGTGTGCATTTCTCCTTCGGCGAGGACCATCGAGGAGCATCCTTCATCATTTGGCGACAAAAACCACGCACGAAACCGAAAAAAGCACAGGGAATGGACGTCCCAGCGATGGCGAGTTCTGCCCGTGCTTCGGGGCCCAGCGCGGGCCACGGGATCGGAGCGGCCAGGCCAGACCCCCGGGTGCCGGCGCCTGCCGTGCGCGCGCGGCGACCACCAGGGAGCTGCTTCAGCGATCCGGGCGGACGTATCCTGATTCGGGGCTCGAGCTCACCACCCACCAAGCCACCCCAGCCCAACCCGAAGGCTCAGATTTACCCTCGATTTCCAGTGTGGGGGGGGTCGGGAAGCATCGAAAGGACACATGTGGAACCCTTCACCCCCCCAACCCGAAATTCGGGTCTTCGGGTTGGGTTGGGGTGGTCTGGTAGGTATGCTCGAACTGGACGTTTGCGTTTCCATGCCGTCTTGCAGCAGAGGCGGAGCGGAGCCAGAGCGGGGTAAGACGAGAAGCGCTGTTTAGCCAGAGCCCTTGTCCTACTCGTGTGCTGTTTGCCCCCCTGGATCCCGCGCCGTTGGTCAGAGAAGGCGCACGACCGTGAGTTGAAAAATGTTACCGCTGCGAGTTGGGCAATACTACTGGCGGTGAGTTGCCAAATGGAAGGGGATCCCGTTGAACAAACAGGGTCCACCTTGCTCGAGCGCGAACCGACGTCCGTTCGTGTTCAACCACTCAGTTTCTAACGGGCTTTCGCAGCGGTGTGCACAGCAGGGCTGGACCTAAACGCTGTTTTGCTGGACTTCGGGCAGTGTTTTGTTTTTCGTTGTGGGAGGGAGGTACAGGAAAACAGGTTGAGCAAAACGGAAACTTAACGACAACCAGACGAAAACAACGTTTAGATCCAGCCCTGGTTCACAGGTCAAGGGGGGGCAACACTTCACACCGCGGCGGCCCCGATGGCCGTGTTTGGACGGAGCATCTCCAGTGCTAGGGGGCGGGCAGCCTTGCAGCGCAGCCTGGCAGGTTCCGTTCGCCAGGTGTATTTGGAAGGTGAACGGAAGTCGCCCCGCAATTGTCGCTCGGTGGTGTTCGAAATCGCTGCTGCAAGAGGTGAATATAAGCGCCGCAGCCTGGATGTGGGGACAACGCCGTCGGTCGCGCGTTTGTAAACGGACATCGTTGCAAAACCATGCGGTGCAAACGTCGATCTGACTTGCCATGTTGTGCATGTGCTGCTTCTGCTACCCCTGCCACGGCGACAGGGGACCATTCGATTCGAGCAGGGCCACCTCTTCTTCCCTCGTCGTTATCGTCGGCAACGTCGTTGTCGTCTCCCTCTCCGTCTCCCCTGCCTCCTCCTCACCATCATCATCAGCATCATCGTCATCAGCATCATCAACTTCATTTGCATAATCATCATCACCACAATCATCATCACCATCACCATCACCATCACCATCATCATCATCATCATCATCATCATCAGCATCATCATCATCATCATCAGCATCAGCATCATCATCATCATCATCAGCATCATCCCCTGTTCCAGCTAGAGGTTGCGATTGAGCGACGCACATGGATACCGACGAAGAGCAGGGGAGAATGAGGGGGATGAAGGGGTGGAGGTGGAGGTGGAGGAGGAGGAGGAGGAGGAGGAGGGGGAGGATCAGTGTAAACCCAAGACTCATCAACGCTTTTGAAATACACCGCTCTCCAAGATCCCTCTTCATAGGCAGCTGCAAGGGGTCAGGGAAGTGCCCCGTTGGGGGACCACCGTATGAACATCTTGAAGCGTGCCAAAACACCATTCTCAGGACTCAACACCACGAGTTACCTAATGGTTAAGCCTTGGCGGTTCTGAATCGCGCCACTGGGATTTCAACACCGCGAATCAACGTAATTGTTGCGCCCTGACAATCCGAACCGTTCCAAACCACAGTTTCTGGTACGCTACTCATGAGAGTCCATGCAGCTCTTGCAAATGCTAGGACGAGAGTGCGCGGGGCTCAGGCGAGAGCCACATTTCAAAAACGACCCGCCCTCAATCCGTGAAGCTCTTGCACATGTTAAAAAAAGAATGTACGCGGCGCTAAGGCGAGAGCCTCATTTTGAAACCAGCCCGCCCTCAATCCGTGAAGTTATTGCACATAAATGTGCTTGGCGCTAAGACGAGAGCCACATTTTGAAAACGTGAAGCTCTTGCAACATGTCATATTGAATGTGCGCGGCGCTGAGGCGAGTCACATTTTGAAGTGGCCCGCCCTAAATATGTGAAAGCCTTGCAACATGTTATATTGAATGTGCGCGGCGCTGAGGCAAGAGCCACTAAAAAAACCGGCCCGCCCTCAATCCGTGAAGCTCTTGCAACATGTCAAAGCGAATGTGCGCGGCGCTGAGGCGAGAGCCACTTTTTGAACTGGCCCGCCCGCAATCCGTGAAGCTCTTACACTCGAATGTGCGCGGCGCTAAGGTGAGAGCCACATTTTGAAGCCGGCCCGCCCTCAATCCGTGAAGTTGCAAAATGCAACATGTCAAAGCGAATGTGCTCGGCGCTGAGGCGACAGGCACTTTTTGAACTGGCCCGCTCTAAATCCGTGAAGCTCTTGCACTCGAATGTGCGCGGCGCAAAGGCGAGAGCCACATTTTGAAAACGGCCTGCCCTGATTCTGTAAAATGGTCGTCAATTTTGAAGCATCAGGGTCGTAGGTCCGCCCTTCCGGCCGGCCTCCGGGTGCGACAGGGATGGGTGATCTATAAGGAAGAGGAACAGATGAGGAGGAGGAGGAGGAGGAGGAGGAGGAGGAGGAGGAGGGCTCCGGGCACACGCGTGCGCGACCCGCTTGGCCTCTGCCCAAGGCAAAAGGTATCAACGGACGCTGCCGACGTATGCGCCCCAGACGTTTCCATTGCATGTTTTGCATGTGTCGTCGAAGCAGGGCATCGTCTTGATGATGAACTTCCTGACGCGCTGGTGTGCCAGACCGATAGTACACATGGAACGCTGGCCCTCCGCACGTGAATCCAGTCATGTTTCGTCGCAGGACCACCATCAGCATCCCCGTCATCATAATGATGAGTGTCATGACACGCTGGTGTGGCACGCCAGTGTCATGGCAGGCTGGTTTTTCGCATGTGTATTCACTCGTGTATCATTGCAGGATCATCGTCATGATGATGGGTGCCATGATGCGTTGGTTTGGCACACCGATATGATGACACAGTGGGCTGCCGATAATATACACCATGGTGTCTTCATTCAGCACCGATCCCAAGGAAAGTGTAAGACCATTCGGCTTCCTTAAGAGCCTGTTTGACGGGAAACCATTATGAGGGCGATTTCGTGGACATCTCGTTTTTGGTGCCGCGGCGAGAAAACATTGCGCTTCGTGGTTCGGGCAGCACTTCGCCTGAAATAGAAGCGCCGTCCTCCCCCACCAAGCGCAACCCTTTTGGTTGCCCAAGGCAAGGGGTATAAACGCACGGTGGCGACTTGTGCGCTACAGACCCAAATATTGCACGTTATGCGTGTGTCGTCGTAGCATGGATATCGGCATGATTATGAATGCAATGATGCGCGGATGTGGCAGAGTAGTGGGTACACGTGGGACACTGGCCGTCCGCATGTGCATCCACTACTGTGCTGTCGCAGGAATATCCTCATGATGATGGTTGTCTTGACGCGCTAGTGTGGCCCACCGCTGTCATGACACGCTGGTGCGCCTGGTGCGCCAAGGTTGTCCGCCATGGCGTCCTATTCCAGCACTGGTCCATGGAATGTTGGCCCTCCGCACGTGACGTGTTTCGAGGTCACGTAAAATCGCAGGACTTTCGTGTTGATGTCATGACGCGCAGGCGTGTCACCGTTCGGTCCTCTTCAGGAGGCCTCTGAGAGGAAAACCGTTCCAGTGGATATTTCGTGGTCATCCCGCTTTCGTTGCTAACGCTAGAAAACATTGCGTCTAGTGGGTCGAACGCTACTTTGACACAGCTCCGCGCCCAGATTTGCCGCAGCGAGCTTTAAACGACATCGGGTTTTCTGCAAATCAATATAAAACATGATATCGGCGATGTTCCGAGGAGGGTGTCGCCCATTTGGCTGCGTGTCCCATGCATTCCAACGCTCTGCTCGAGCAGGCGGGCACACAGGCCTTTCCATGCCACGAAATAGAATGTTTTCGCCGGTTCGCATGTTATCCCAAGCAAGCACACGCATGCATCAACGTCCGCACTCTTCTTTCTTTGCAAGAGCAGAACAGGTCGCGCATGTGTGCGCCCGGTGCGAGGAAAAAGAAGAGGAAGAGAAGGGCGATAAGGAGGAGGACATGGAGACACATTACGAGGTCCATCAGCAGAAATGCGGGGAGCGGGGGAAGGTCAGCGACGCGGATAATGATGATGATGATGATGATGATGATGATGATGATGATGATGATGATGATGATGATGATGATGATGATGATGATGATGATGATGATGATGATGGTAAAAGGGGAGGAGGTGAAGGAGTAGGACGAGGAGGAGGAATAACAACAGCAACGGCAGCTGCAACATGTTGAGCTGAGCGGCCAGGAGGAGGAGGAAGAGGAGGAGGAGGAGGAAAAGGAAGAGGAGGAGGAGGAGGAGGAGGAGGAGGAGGAGGAGGAGGAGGAGGAGGAACAGGAGGAGGAGGAGGAGGAGGAGCAGGATCCGGAGCAGGAGCAGGAGCACGAGCACTAGCGCGAGCACGAGCAGGAGGAGCAGGAACAGGAGAAGGAACAGGAGCGGATTCGAGCATATAGGACCGCACGAGATGACCGTGAAACGGGTAACTCCCGTTCAAGAAACTGCTCGCCGAGCCCTGCCCTGGCCCGCTCAGCTGCTCGCCGCCCCCAGCACCCGTCCCGCCAGAGCACGTCGGTCCCAGACATCGGGCGTTTGTTTTTGTTGGGGAGACGTGGGCCCCCAGACTTCTCGGCCACTTCCCTGGTAGGCTTCTCACTCCGAGCTGTTCTTCGACGGCCCAGGGTCCCGAGGCCGGCTTCCGAAAGCACAGCACGGCGAGAGACCGGCCGCAGAGTTTTGGTGGCCTGCGGCGGGCATCCCGCGTCGGGTGGGGCGAGGGCGCCCGCCACATGGTGGTGTGGCGGGCGCCGCTCTCCCGGCTCCCTTGCCACGTCCGCACCTTCCGCCCCCTCTTCCTCCTCCGCCTCTGCCTCCGCTTCCACCTCCGTGTCTTCACTCCGCCCTCCCCTCGTCTTGCTCCTCCTCCTCCACCCCTTCCTCCTGCTGACGTTGGCGCTGCCGGCGCGTGGATCCGCACGGGAGGCTGCCATCCTCCTGCTTCTCCGCCTTGTCCCCCTACCGTCCGCCATCCCCCGACCCTGCCCCTCCTCCTCCTCCTCCTCCTCCTCCACCTCCTCCTCCTCCTCCTCCTCCTCCTCCTCCTCCTCCTCCTCCTCCTCCTCCTCCTCCTCCCCGCCCGCTGGCCGGCGGCCAGGTTGCCACGGGAGGGGGGGGGGGCAGGAGCAAATCCAGGCGCGCGTGGCGGGCACCCAGCGCTGAGGGTCCCCGCGCGCTCGCGCTGCGCTCCGCCTCCGCTGGGCCCCTTGCTGGCCGCGCTCCGGCACCTGCCGCGCGGGTGGTGCGGGCCGAATGGCGCGTTCTGGTGGACCCGCGCCCTGCGCATGACAGAAAGGGATCCGATGGCACACCGCGCCAGCGCAGTGCATGGGGGCACTGCTGCACCACGCTGCGCGGCGCGGCCCGAGCGGGCCGTGCGGACAGTCGGAGCCTTGCCGGAGGTGGTCCTGGCCCAAGGTGCCCCCCAGGATCTCCAGGGAGGCACCCGCGGCCTCCAGAGCTCCACCCATGAGGCGCAGAGGGCCCCAGGGGCTCACGCATTGCGCGAGGAGCTGAGACGCCGGAGGTCAGGAACACCTTTGGCAACCCCCGAAGCAGTCACAAACCCTCTGGGTCGCCCCCAAGGGCGCGAAGATGATCGCGCTTCGCGCGTCGCGGCCTTGACCAGAGGGCCGCCCTTCTCCAAGGCGGCCTCGCGAATGTGCGAGGACAACCGGTCGCCGCGCATCGCAGGGCGCGATGCGTGAAGTCATGTGGCCGAGAGAACCCCGAGTGCCACACTCGCAGCCCTCCCGAACTCGAAGAGGAAACGACTGCATAACCCTTAGTAATTTCAGAAAGTGACGTCAAGGTGGTCAAACGCCTTGCTGGTTAGGCCGACGAAGATGTGCATAATCCAACCACTCGCTTCGCATTCTGTCCAAAGTTTTCGCTTGACGCCTGGCGTGGTGCATCAATCTTAGCTTGACCGAACAGGTTGGTTGTGCCCCTTGACGTCCGTTTGTGGTGTTCTGCAGGCCCTACTCAACATAAACCTCCTCCGGGACACCTCAGATCTCGGCCACGCGCAGAGGTGGGTGCGAGGAGGGGGGAAGGCTTCTAGTAAACACCCTGCTTCTTGTAAACACCCTGCTTCTCAAAAGGCCTTGTCTGCAGCGGTAGGGCCAGCGCCCTCTAATAGGCAGCCTCCTTCCAGCGCTCGACCCACACGGTGTGTTGGTGATCTCGTGCACCGTTGTCGTTTTGGTGTCGTTTTGCTGCAGAGGCGGAACGTAGACAGCACGAGGGAAATCGAACACAAAACGAAAACGTACAACCCTGCTTCGGCCGAGCCCTGACTCTTTTTCTATGGGAGGAGGAAAACATTACAGATCCAGCTCTCTTGGCCCTCCTCCTCCCCCCTCCTTCCTCGTTTTCTCTAAAGGACGAGGGGGGAGGAGGCGGGCCAAGAGAGCTGGATCTGTATTGTTTTCCTCCTCCCAGTCTAAGGAGCCTTCCCCCCCCCCCTGCGCCCCTGGATCGCCCCCCCGACGATCTGCGCAGGACGCCCCCTCCTGGTCTGCCGAGGGGGCCCAGCGCCGACCCGGGGAGGCCGCGCCGCGCTGCCGGAGAGAGGCTCGTCCCAAGGGCCCTGGCCGTCGGGAGCGGCTCGGGCAGAGGCGAGGCGGCCAGCGTTTCTTCTGACCCGTGCCGGCCCCCCCCCCGCCGCACGATCGCCCCAAGGCGGCCCCTGAGGCTCCCGCCCGGGCCTCCCAGACTCGTTCGCGTCGTCTCCGTCCTCCCTCCTCCCTCGTCGTCGTCGTCGTTGTCGCCGTCGTCGTCCTCCCTCCTCCCTCGTCGTCGTCTTCGTTGGCGACGTCGTCGTCGTCGTCGTCTTCGTTGTCGTCGGCGGCGGCGTCGTCGTCGTCTTCGTCGTCGACGTCGGCGTCGGCGTTGTCGTCGTCGTCGGCGTTGTCGTCGTCGTCGTCGTCGTCGTCGTCGTCGTCGTCGTCGTTGTCGTCGTCGAAGTCGTTGGAGGCGTCGTCGGTGTCGTCGTAGTCGGTGTCGGCGGCGCCGTCGTCGTCGTTGTCGCTGTCGTCGTCGACGCCGGTGTCGTGGCCAAGTGTCATGTGGTACCTACCGTCACGGTCTTGTCTCAAGAGGTTTTGCGACCAAGTTGCGGGTGAGAGGGTGGGATGTTTGCACGAGCAGTGGAGAGGACAGCTTCAAGACGGTCAAAGTGAATTGCACTTCGTAGATTTCTCCACATATATTGCGCCACATAGATTGCGTCACACATATTGCACCACATAAGTCGCACAACATTGATCGCACCACATGTATTCTCCTTTCTAAAAAGAGAATAGACTCTACCCCCCACCCCCCCAGAGTTATCGCTACCCCTTTCGGGTATGTAAATCACAGATGATTATGGCCACATGTCCATCCTAAATATGAAATCACAATGTCCCAGGCCAACCGGGTTCCCCCCCCTGAGGTTCCCTTGTAAAAAACACTATGCGGTGACATTTTTTGTTCTAACATAAGACTTGTTCACGAATCCCTTGCAACAAATGGGACGAAGTGCACACGCGTGTGTCGTCGCGCGCGCATGCCGAAATCCTTCAAGAACCTTCGGTGCCGGAAGGATTTCGCAATCGAGTTTCCAAAAAGCATGCAAAATCACAGGGTTGCGCAACACTGATTTGCTAAAAAAGCTTACGCGCGAGCTCTTGCGAAATCTTAAGAAATCCATTGGTGATTCAAGATTCTCACAACATGCTACCAAACGGGCGTCGCGCGCGCATGTCGAAATCTGTCGAACGCCCTTGCGCGTGTGCCGTCGCGAGAATCCTCTGCAAAAAATGAGACGAAGTGCAGACGCGCGCGTCGTCGCGCGCGTAAGCCGAAATCCTTCAAAACCCATCGGTTTCGGAAGGATTTCAAAATCGCGCGTCCAAAAAACCTACAAAAACACAAGGTTTCGCAACACGGATTTTCAACAAAAGCGTGCGCGCGCGCTCTTGCGCGTCGTCGTCGTCGTCGTCGCCGTCCTCCCTCCTCCCGTCGTCGTCGTCGTCGTCGTCGCCTACGTCGTCCTGTGTCTTTCCTCGTGTTCGTCGTCGTCGTCCTCTTTGGCGTCGTGGTCGTTTCCGTTGTCGTTGTCGCCATGGTCGTCCTTCCTTCTCCTCCCTCGTCGTCGTCGTCGTCCGTCGTCGGCGTCTCGTCGACGTCCCTCCAATTTCGTCGCCGTCGTCGTCGTCGGCGTCGTTGTCGTCGTCGTCTTCCCTCCTCCCTCGTCGTTGTCGTCGTCGGCGTCGCCGTCCTTCCTCCTTCCTCGTTCGCGTCGTCGCCGTCCTCCCTCCTCCCTCGTCGTTGTCGTCGCTGTCGTCGTTGTCGCCGTCGTCTTCCTTCCTCCTCCCTCGTCGTCGTCTTCGTCGGCGTCGGCGTCGGGGTCGTTGTCGTCGTCGAAGTCGTCGGAGACGTCGTCGGTGTCGTCGTAGTCGTTGTCGTCGGTGTCGTCGTAGTCGGTCTTGAGAGGTTTTGCAAACCAAGTTGCGGGAGGGTGGGTGGAATGTTTGCAAGAGCGTGGGATGTGTCAAATCATGGGTAAAAATGAATTGCACAATATATTGCACCACGTATATTCTCCGTTCTAAAAAGGGAATAGACTCTACCCCTCCCCCCCCCGCGTTATCGCCCCCCTTTTCGGGTATGTAAAACACAGATGATTCTGACCACATGTCCATCCTAAATATGAAACCACAATGTCCCAGGCCAACCGGGTTCCCCCCCCTGAGGTTCCCTTGTAAAAAACACTATGCGGTGACATTTGTTGTTCTAACATAGCACTTTTTCGCGAATCCCTTGCAGAAAATGGGACGAAGTGCACACGCGCGCGTCGTCGCGCGCGCATGCCGAAATCCTTCAAGAACCTTCGGTGCCGGAAGGATTTCGCAATCGAGTTTCCAAAAAACATACAAAAACACAGGGTTGCGCAACACTGATTTGCTAAAAAAGCTTACGCGCGAGCTCTTGCGAAATCTTAAGAAATCCATTGGTTTTTCAAGATTCTCACAACATGCTACCAAACGGGCGTCGCGCGCGCATGTCGAAATCTGTCGAACGCCCTTGCGCGTGTGCCGTCGCGAGAATCCTCTGCAACAAATGGGACGAAGTGCAGACGCGCGCGTTGTCGCGCGCGTACGCCGAAATCCTTCAAAACCCATCGGTTTCGGAAGGATTTCAAAATCGCGCGTCCAAAAAACCTACAAAAACACAAGGTTTCGCAACACGGATTTTCAACAAAAGCGTGAGCGCGCGCTCTTGCGGCGTCGTCGTCCTCGTCGCCGTCCTCCCTCCTCCCGCGTCGTCGTCGTCGTCGTCGCCTACGTCGTCCTGTGTCTTTCCTCGTGTTCGTCGTCGTCGTCCTCTTTGGCGTCGTGGTCGTTTCCGTCGTCGTTGTCGCCGTGGTCGTCCGTCCTCCTCCTCCTCCTCCCGTCGTCGTCGTCGTCGCGTCTCATCGTCGTCCTCCTATTTCGTCGCCGTCGTCGTCGTCGTTGTCGTCGTCGTCTCGTCGTCGTCTTCCCTCCTCCCTCGTCGTTGTCGTCGTCGGCGTCGCCGTCCTTCCTCCTTCTTCGTCGTTCGCGTCGTCGCCGTCCTCCCTCCTCCCTCGTTGTCGTCGTTGTCGTCGTTGTCGTCGTTGTCGCCTTCGTCGTCCTTCCTCCTCCCTCGTCGTCGTCTTCTTCGTCGTCGACGTCGTCGTCGTCTTCGTCGTCGTCGTCGGCGTCGGCGTCGTCTTCGTCGTCGTCGACGTCGGCGTCGTCGTCGCCGCCGCCGTCGTCGTCGTCGTCGTCGTCGTCGCCGTCGTCGGCCGTGTTGCTTCTCCGGCCTTCTCGGGGCGCTCTTGAGACGCCCCCGAGGGCTCCAAGACGACCCCGGAGCGATATCTGTGCTCGGTCCCGCATGGGTTTTGCAAACCGAGTTGCGGGTGGGTGGGTGGGATGATTGCGCGAGCAGTGGAGTTGACAACTTCAAGTTCGGCAAGTGAACTGCACCCCATATATTGCACCGCATAGATTGCTAGAAACACGCTGTTTGGGGTCCACGCTGGCTGACATTTGAAAAAAGAATTGGCCTAAATCCTTGGTGCTGGTTGGAGCTGTCAAAGCCAGTGCGCGTGGCGCTAGAGTGCGATCAGCATTTTGAAAGCGACGGGCCCTCCTCCATTGTGAACAGAATTTGCGCGGCTCTACGCCGAGAGCCGCATGGGGGAAATCACCGGCATGTCACCCCTGTAGCTGTTGGATTTGTAGCAACAGGGCTGCAGACGGAAGTCTCCAGCGAAACGCACAGCCAGGCCTGCGGACACGTCTGGTGGCGAGACAGGTGGGCGTTCTTTGTAAGGGGCAGGGATAATCGCAGCAGGAGGAGCAGGAGGTGGAGGAGGCCCCTGGAAGTTTCTGGAGCCCCCGGGGGCTCGGAGTGGGCCAACGACGCCAGTGGACTTAGGCGGAGTAGAAAGACGAGGCAGGAGGAGGGAGGACTGAGGAGGAGGAAGAGGAAAAGGATGAGGAGGGAGAGGAGGAGGAGGACCAGGAGGACGACGACGGAGTGGTAGGCAGCAGGAGGACAGGGAGGAGGGGGAGGTCAGCAAAAGGAGGGAGGAGGGGGAGGCAGCAGGGAGGGGCTCCAGTCCTTCTGTTTTTTGCTGGTTGTGGCTTCGTGCCGTTGCCGCTCTCGGGCCGCCGCCGCCGCGGGCTCCAGCGGAGCCTCCCCCGGCAGCGGCCGCGCGGCTCGCGCCGGGCCGCGCCGCCATGGCGGAGCCGGCGCAGGCGGGGCCGCTGGGGGTCGGGAGCCCTGAGACGGGGGTCAACGCAAACGGGGGTCAGCCAGGGCGCGAGGCGGCCGCTCGTATTGGCTGACCCGGGTTTGCGAAGACCTGCGTTGCAGTTTTTTTTTCCCCTGCATTGCAGTTTTTGATGTCCTGCTGACCCGGGTCTGGATTGACCCGGGTCAGTAGATCCCCGAGGGGGGAGGCTCGGACGGCCTCGAGATCGCACGCCAGGAGAAGGCCACCGCGCGGAGAGGCGTCCCTGGTCGACCCACACTACGATCACTCCAGGGTATCCTCAGCGATGATGCTGCGATGTTGCTCTGCAGACTCAGGCTGCAGACTCAGGCGGTGCTCGCCCTTCAGCTGCCGGCGCCCGTTCCGCATGCCCATCCGTCCGCCTCCTCAGTCTGTGGTCCTTGAGGGAGCAAGGTCGCTGGCCGTGAAGGCGACGTCAGCATCGGCAGCAGAAGCGGGCCCCTCAGGACCGACGGCACGAGAGCTGTCGGGTTGCACGAAGATGAAGTCTTTACTTTAATGCACAGTGCGGTATTCCTACGTAGGACGGCGATGTCCAGGAGGGCGGTGAGACTGATGGTGGTGATGATGGTCACGACGAACAAATGTCTTCGCGTAGCACATCGGCTAGACACAGTTGTTAGCACGAACAGACGACTCCGTCAATGACAGCACCATCATTTACCCACGTTGACGACGATCGATTGTCAGTTTCTGACGAGTGCCAACGCAGTCGACACAGCGCTTACAAACACAATGGCATGACATGACAGGACTGTGTTAGTCACCGCATCGCGACGGCGAGAATAAACACTGCATGCGGCCAGGGATCGCGCCGCCGCCGCGTGGGCGGGCTGCTGAACGCGTACTACCGCATCGAGGGGGCAGAGAAGCAGGAGCGGGCGGATCGGGTGGGTGCGGCGCAAGCAAGCACTATGAGGAGGAAAAGGTACCCATACTGCTAGCGTTCCTTCGTTTTCGCCTTTTCAGGCCTCCTGGGAGGCCCGCGTCGCCACCGCTTGATTCTCCTCGAAATTCTGGTCACAACGCACCCCTGGAGAGGTCTGGGGAGTAGCGGTATCGGTACCCTGTGGTATCTCCAAACACGAAGGATGGAGGGGGAGTTGGAGGGGGTAGGCTAGGATAAATCCGTTCCAGAGCGTTCTGGAACGCTTTCAGAGCGTTCCCGAACGCTCTGAGATGGCCGCGGCGCCCGATACATTCTCCAGAGCCGCCGGGTGTCCGAGATCCTCGATGTATCCTCACCCGAATTTATCCTTGTCCTGGCTTCGTCTTACTTGTAGTATCTCCAAGCACGAAGGATGGACAGGGAGCTGGACGGGGGTTGAAGATCAGGACGAGAAGGATGAGGAGGACACCCAGGACAGGGCGCCCGGAGGCCTGACGTCTGAGCTGCTCCGCCGGAGCTGACCTCCGCGAGAGGCACGTGGACGACTCACCGACAGGAGCGCTTGAGCCGCCCGCGTAAGGCTGCGCGTAAGCGCCTTCGTTTCCAGTGTCGCGTGCTGTGCCGGCGGTCCGCGTAAGCCACCGCGTACGGTCGCTGTGTCATCTCGCGTAAGAGCCCTTTATTTAATCGCTTCGCTCATTCCGCCGGCCCTGGGACCCTCTTTAGGGCCTCTTGGGGGCCTCTTGGGGACTTCTTGGGAGTCTCTTGGGGCTCCTTGGCGGCGTCTCGCGTAAGAGCCCTTTATTTTGTTTCGTCGCTCATGTGTGCCAGGTCCTGTTAAGCATCTGCTCTGTGCCGGGCCTGCCCGCCGCGAGGCCGAGGAGGGTGACGCAGGATGGGACTCAGAGAGACCCTTCGCCCGTTTTCCCGTCCTTGGGCCTCCTGGGCGGCCTTCGTCGCCACCGCAGGATTCGATTCGAAATCCTGGTCAGAACGCACCCGTGGAGAGGGGCGGGGAGTAGCGGTATCGGTGCTTTCTTGGTCTTCCCAGGACAGTAGGGATTGGAGAGCAGGAAGGATATGCATGAGGAGTGACAGCGGGGTTGCCGACGAGGACGAGGATGGCGGAGGCGAAAGAAGAGGATGTACGAGGGCGGCGGAGATTGAGGGTGGGGGAGGGAGAGCGGAGGATGACGAGGAGAAGGACGGCGATAGTGAGAAGAGTGCGGGCGCGCACGGAGGACCAGCCCGAGGCCACCCAAACCAGCGACTTGGACCGGCAAGGCCCGCCGCTGGGCCTGCACTGCGGCTTGGCCGCGGCTCGTCATCCGTCCACCTCGTCATCTGCGGTCTTCTTCTCCTCCGTCCTCCTTTAGTCGCCTCCTCCTGCTACTTCTCGTCCGCCTCCTCGCCTTCGTCCTTGGCGGGCAGGGGGAGGGGGGAAGGCTTCTTAGAAGGCAGCTGCTTCTAGAAGGCGCGGGCCCTGTCTGTAGATGTACGGCCCGCGCCTTTAAGAAGCAGCCTCCTTCTAAGAAGCCTCCCCCCTCCACCCCACCCCCTCTGCGCGCCGCCAATCCGTTTTAAGCCTCCCCCCTCCCCGTGGGTCTGTTCGCCAGTCGTTCAAAGCATTCATTTTGGAATGCTGTTTCGAAGGTGCTTCCTCTTCCTTTCTTACGCCAAGAATTGAAGGGGTTCGGTATACTTCTGTTCGGGCGCCTGGCACAACCCGATCTAGGGTTAAGTCGGGCGTGTCCCTCTACAGGAGGAAGACTCAAAGATAATCCAAAAGTAGTCTGGGGACGATTTTTTGAGTATTTGTTTATCGCAATTTTTGATGTTTGTTTTTACATCTGCCCAACATCTGCCTGTAGGAGGACATGCCCGACCTAAATCAAGGCCAGGCTCGTGCCGCGTCGACGCCGTGGCGACGCTGGCGCGGGCGATCCAGGCGGACGGCCACCAGCGGCCTCTGCACCAGGCCGATCTGGAGGGATCTCCGCCGTCTGACGGCAGAGATCGCTCAATCTCGCATGCCCTACGCGGCGCCAGAGACGACGGGGTCGGCGAAGACGTCGAGGTCTTGACGCTCTTGTTTCGGGGGTTGCTCCAGAGGCCCCTGAGGATCTCTGGGGACCTGCCAGACCCTGTCGGCGACGGCTGGAACTCCGACGGGGTGCAACAAACTATCATCCGCAAGGGCTTCGCCCCCTGCCGCCGGCCCCCTCTCTATCATCATGGGGTATAACAGAGTCGCGTCGGTGCGTCTCGGCGCTGCCTTGGCGCATCTGGGAACAGCATGCGGGGGGCGGATAGGACTCATCAGCGCATATTGAAACGCTGGCGTTATTGAAGACGCCTACGGCGAATCACCGCCGCCCCCCGCCTTCTGGAATCGCGCATGTGGCCGAGCGTTGCGGCAAGAGCTCTGTCAAGGTATCGGGCCATGTGTTCCCCCAACCGTTGTGGAAACCCTTCGGGGAACACTTGGGGGAGGATGGCGGGGAAGATCAAGAGGAGGCGGAGGAGGAGGCGGAGGAGGAGGAGGAGGAGGAGGAAAGGGAACAGGAGGGTGAGGACGGAGAGGAAGAGTCCTCGCAGGGGGAACCATGAGGAGAAGGAGGAGGCGGAGGAGGAGGAGGAGAAGGAGAATGAGCAGGGGGAGAAGGATGACGAGGAGGGGATGACCATGACGATGACGATGACGATGAAGATTCTCTGCTGCTCCTGATGATGGTGATGGTGGTGGTGATGGCGGTGGTGGTGATGGTGATGGTGGTGGTAATGGTGATGACGATGACGATGACGACGATGCTGCTGCTGCTGCTTATGAGAAGGAAGAGGAGGAGGAGGAGGACGAAGAGGAGGCCGAGGAGATCCGTGAGACACGAGAGAAGAGAGGAGGAAGTGGAGCAGATGGATGGTAGCGGGCAAGGTTGAGCAGGAGGAGGAGGAGGAGGAGGAGGAGGAGGAGGAGGGGGAGGGGGAGGGCGAGGAGGAGGACGAGGAGGAGGAGGAGGAGGAGGATAGCAGAGGAGGACCAGCACGAGGAGCAGGGTCCCTACACTAAAGAGGGAAGGAAGGCACGAAGACACGCGGGTGCTGCCTTCGACTACACGAGGCAGGGCCACCGTGCGGTCGCGGCCTCTGCTTGGGCGAGGCGCGTTCCCGCGAGGACCCGCACTCACGGCGAGGGCGCTCCCGCCGGACGCTCGTATCCAAGCAGGCGAACGAATAACGAACACCCTGGACGGGGTCACAGGGACGGCGAAGGGTGGCTAGGAGAAAAGACAGCACTAGGAAACGAGAGGAACAAGCAGCAGCAGCAGCAGCAGCAGCAGCAGCAGCAGCAGCAGCAGCAGCAGCAGCAGCAGCAGCAGCAGCAGCAGCAGCAGCTCTGTGCCCGCCACATTACGGACACCCTTGCCGCGAGGAGGCTTGTCATCATACACTGAGCTGCCGCCAACGGTCTCGAAGTAAGTAAACATCATGTCCTTCGGACCGAACTCATCTCGATGTGCTTGCCCTTCGCAGACTCGTAGCATCCCTGGCATTTGCACGTCGCGACAGCAACTCTGACGTTTTTCGGTTCCATAAGCCCGGATGCCGTCTCCATTAAGAAGTTTCGATATGCCTCGTCTGGGTGGACCCATTCCGTTATCAATCCGTGTGTTGAAATGGTGGTCAGGGGTGCGCATGTTGTGCCCGAGCTCCCCATGCTGTGCCAGGATGAGAAGGAGGGGGAACATCATGTGGAGGAGGAGCAGCATCAGGAGGAGAAGGAGCGTTGTCTGCTGCTGTCGCCGCTTCTTCTCTCCTTCGCCCCCTCCCTCCTCCCCCCTTCGGACCTTGGCTCGGCGTGGCAGCTGCTCCGACGTCGTCGAGGCCGCGGAGGATCGACGACTCGAGGAGGAGGAGGGAGGTTCGAAGATAGCTGAGGAGGATCGAGGCGAGAGGAGGACGGCGTCGTCGACGACGCCGACGTCGTCGACGACGGCAGCCTCCGGGGCGCTGCAGGCTTCGACGCCAAGCGGTACTTCGACGGCATGGCGCGCGCCGGGCCTCCTCGCTCCCATCGCCCCCTCCCCCGAGGGGCCCGCCGCGGGAGACCTTAAGGAGCCCACGGGGGCCCGGGGCGCGGGGCACCTCGGCACACGCTGGCACGAAGCGCCGCCGTCGGCACCACGGGCACTGCCGCCGCCGCCGCCGCCGTCGCACCGCGGCGGCCGCGACGGCGGCGGCGTCGGCGACGGCGGCGGCGGCGGTGGTGGCGGCGGCCGCGGTACCGGGCGTGTGTGAGGGTGTCAGGTGCACGGGGCGGGCCAGGCGTGTACAGTCCAGATTCAAGATCAGGCGATCGCAAACATGGATCGAGGGGGCGTGGACTAGCGACGGGTCCCGTTTCCAGGGGAAATAGCGGGTTTCCGCCGCAGAACAGGGCGGCACCAGCCGCATTTTGAGGAGGGCACCTCCCCGATCCATGGATTTGGCGGCCGCGCGCCAAATCCATGGATCGCTAATCCATGTTTGTGCGCCCCCGACAAGAGTTTGGACGTCCGTGGAAGAATGCTGCACGTACTCGCTGGTCTCTTCTGCGCGTGGGCAAGAGTCATGTGCACACCTTTTCCCGCGCTCGGCTTTCTAGAGCCCACTCGCAATTGCCAAACTGCTGTTCGCATCGCTCCGTCTAGATTCGAGGGATTGCCGCCAAAACATGTCTCCATCTGAACATGTTCGCATCTATGCTCCATCGGCCTTTGCCCACTGCTTTATGTGATCCCGCACCGGTTATCGGACGCTTCTCCTACGCTAGACTCAGGCAGGTCTCCATACAACATTACATGCATTTTACCCTCGCGTGGAATCTTTACGGTGGGGCGAGACCGAGCTAGGTGCTCGGATTTGGGACACGCCTTCAGTCACCCCAACTATGCGACGACGAATCGGATCTATTGGACCGTCATGACTTCGAACGCGATTACTAACATGTGACAGTTTTCCCAGAAATCATGCCGCGAGAGCGGGGTATTACCAGGATTGTCAGCTTCCTGTACATCATTTCTCATTGAACCTGTGTTTGCCAGCTATTGCATCATTGGCCCTCCGTCTACAGTGCTGGTCCCCTTAGTGCCGCCATGGTATATGCAGCGCCGTTGAGAAATTTTACCGCTTGCTGCAACGGCTGAGAATTCGTCTGAGTGGGCGAGCAAGTGCATGTCTGTTCAGCAGGGCGCGAAGAGGGTTCTGTTTAGGGTGACGAGTGACCACAAGTATACACGTGGGGCGGACGTAGGAGGAGGAGGAGGAGGAGGAGGAGGAGGAGGAGGAGCATGAGGAGGAGGAGGTGGAGGAAGAGGAGGAGACGGATGGGGCGGATGATGAGGATGGCTAGGAATGGATGAAGCGCTTCAGGAGGGAAGACAGATCATGAGGATGAACAGGAGGATGAGGGAAGGGGTGGAGATCAATTGTGAGCTTACAGTGTGGGCTTGGCACATTGCATATTCTGAGCGTCGAATGCCTCAGATCAGCTACTTATTGAGTCACCTGATGGTGCCTCCTTCTCCATTTAGCCTCTTCTTCTCCTCCTCCTCCTCCTCCCTCCTCCTCCTCCTCCTCCTCCCCCCCTCCTGCTCCTGGGTCTCGCCCCCCCCCCCCCCCCCCCTGAGGTGTATGTGGGCAGCTTGGCGCCGTCGACGGCAAAATCCTCCTCCCTCCCTCCTCTCCTCCTCCTCCTCCTCCTGGGTCTCGCCCCTTCCCCCCCCTGAGGTGTATGTGGGCAGCTTGGCGCTGTCGACGGCAAAATCCTCCTCCTCCTCCTCCTCCTCCTCCTCCTCCTCCCTCCTCCCCCCCGCTAGAAGACGGGACACCTTAGCCCACCAAGAGAGCTAGGGTTGTCCAGGCTGTGTGTGGGACTCGGAGGCCACTCCTCCCTGGGAAACACTTCCACCCGAACGCAGATCTTTCTTCTCCTCCTTCTCCTTCCTCGCTCTGGCTTCTCCTCGCCCCTCCTCTCCCGCTCTTGCTCGCCTACCCTCGTTCCCTCGCTCCCTCCTGGACCTTTCCCCCCCTCGATCTCTCCTCCCTCCCCTCCCTCGCTCCCTTCCTCCTCCCTCCCTCGCTCCTTCCTGCTCGCGCCTCCCCATCCTCCTTCCTCCTCCCTCCCGCCGTCCTCCCTCCTCCCTTCCTCGGAGGAGGATGGAGGATAGAGGAGCCCTTCCTCCCTCTCCCCTCCAGTATCCTGCTCTCTTCCCTCGCTCCCTCCGCCCTCTCCGCGCCCCCCTCCTCCAGCACTCCCCCCCTTCTCCTGCCTCCCCCTCTTCCCCCCTCCCCGCTCCCATCCAGCACGATTGTGCACTCCGCATGGTTATCCCCATGGCTATGACTCCTCCCGACCCCCCCCCTCTTCTTTCGCACCTCCTCCTCCCCCCCCTCAGGCGCGCGCGCTCTTCCCGCGGGCGCCCTTTTCGGCGTGCCTACGGCGCGCCCTTCACTTCGAGAGGTGGCCTCCGGGCAGCTGGGCGACCTCGTCAAGCACGCCAGATCTCTCGACGACGAGGTCCAGGACGGGAGCTGGCACCTCACCGGTCCCAGCCTTGCTTGACGTCCGACGCGGGTCTGGCGCAGATTCGACGTGGATTCAACGCGGATTCGACGCGATAGTGTAGGCGACGCGATGGGACATACACGGTGCCCGAAGATGCAATATGACAGAGGAGGGATGATCGATGATCGAGGAGGGCGATCTTATCTCGGGTCGACGGTGAAGACGGATTGGAGAAACAAAGCGCATCTCCGTCCCCACTTGCTCCCCTGGCCCCCCTCCGTCTGGCGCTGGGCCAGAGGGTTTTGAAGCCTGGTTGCGAGGATGTTTCGCACATGCTACGCCCCTCCCTGCACCTCCTCTCTGGGGAGGGTGGTCATGTGGGTTTTGGGGTGCTCTCTTGCTGAACTAAAAAGGAGGGCATGGGGCTCCACTATGCTGAGCGCCAGCCGAGGGGGAGGAGCTAGGAGGAAAAGGTGGATGATGATGAGGAGGAGGAGGAGGATAATGAGGAGAAGGAGGATGAGGATAATGAAGAGGATAAGGAGGACGAAGCTGAGGAGAAGAAGGAGGCGGAGGAGAAGGAGGAAGGAAAGGAGGATGACGATACCGAGGGGGGAGGAGGAGGAGGAGGAGGAGGAGAAGGAGGAGGAGGAGGAGGAGGAGGAGCAAGAGAACTGAGAGTTGAAGAAACGTATTTTTTGTTGGATGCCTTCGGTGTTCTGGGCATCCGGAGGATCTGGGGACCTCTAGGCACGTCTGAGGACCCCTGATGCCTCCACAGGTCTCGTTGGACTAAGTCTGGTGGTCCCTTCTGGGCCCTAAGACAAAAAATAACGACCCGGGGCGAAAAGGCGGCCCTGGGCTGGGGATCGGGTCGAGAGGTCTGGGGCCAATGTTCGTTAAAGAAACGACTTGGGAAGGTTTGGGGAGGAGGATGTTTCGTGTGTATTCTGCTTATGTGGGCCTCTGGAATGGAGGTCCTCGTCGCAACGGGAGGACTCGACTCGGATCATCCTGGCCGGAACCCCCTCCCAGACGGGTCCGGAGGTTGATTCTGGTGGACTTTTTCCTCACCATCAATCGTTCTTGTGTGTAAGATCGGGCATAATCCAGTCTGACGGTCTTGTTTTTGTATGCCGTGCTTGGCTCCTTGCTGACCACCTCTGATTTGCTTGTGTTGGTCGTATTCGCACTTGTACATATGGGGGGCTTGACTGCTGGACAAGTCGCATGCACAGAAATATCGAGTCCACGCAGGGTCCCAATCTTGGAGGGCCAGGGCGGGATTCGGGTGCTCATTGTGTGGATGCTGTGCTCAGCGCGGCATTTGTGGGTACTCTCGGCTCCAACACGTGTTGCCCAATTGTGTAGCAAGATGGTCTTCATTTGAAGGTCGCATAGGCCGTCTAACGGGGAAGCCTGCGTCCTCCTCTTGACGAGCGGATTGAGTTGTGCCGTGTGTGTGTGGGGGGTAGTACACTTGTCCACATCCGTACCCAGTGCGTGTCAGAATCTATGCCCGTTCATCCGAAACTCGGGCTCATCGTAGATTTATGTTGATCAATCGATCGCACTATGTGTGTTCTGAATTTTGTCAGGTGCTCGTAGTGCTCTTTGCCGAGCGTGCTGTTCAGGCGTAAACGACCAAAGTGTGTGTTTCAGCAACAGTTGCCCATTATGTAAGCAACTCCCCTGCAGTACGAACTGCTGTCAGTCAGTCGTTGCCCCAGACCTCGCGTGCCACGGGCTGCGTGTGTGTCCATATCGAAATTGTACATAAGACACATCTGCACATACTGAGCCGCACGCGTCTTGTCATGAACATACATGCGCACACATATGTTCAGACGCATGTGTTCGATGTGTCAGTTCATGTGCACGCGTACGTCGGAGAGTCCCTTTGGCATGCGAGACGGTGGCGGGCCAGCCTTTGGAGGACCTGGACGGCGACATGCAGAAGCTTGTCTACGAGAACTACAGTCACCGGCTGGGCCAAACGGCTCGTTCAGACCGGTGTCTGCCGTGCCGTGCCTTCGGCAATCTCGACGCTTTCCATTCGGCAGCAATTGCATTCCCACCTCTTAGTGGCGTCCAGCAGCTGCCCGGCGCGTCGTCGACATCGTCCTCCCCTTCATCCTTTTCTTCTCTTCCGCCCTCGTTTCATCTTCCCGCTCATGGGATTTGCTTACGTGTGGGCAGGAGAACGTGGCGATGGCAGGGGGTTCCGAGGAGGGGCAGGAGGTGCAGAGGAGGAGGAAGAGGAGGAGGAGGAGGAGGAGGAGGAGGAGGAGGAGGAGGAGGAGGACAATCCAGCACTAGGTGTAGGGCCCGCTGGCCCGCAGCACATTTTTGCTTTCTGTTGTGACTCGCTGGCCGCCTGTCGCGCAGGCGGCGTTCGGCGGCGTGGCAGCGGTGCTGGTGCATTCGGGTGCCGGCGATGGCCCCTCGGCGAAGCGCGTCACTGCGCTGGCGGCGGCGGTGGCGCGAGGGGCAGCGTAAGCATTGGCGCCGAGCGAGCCACACGGAGCCGTCGGGGTGGTGCATGGTACGGTGGACACCGTTTTTTTTGTCGGCCTGGACGGTGAACGCAGTATTCGGGAGCCTTGAGTTTCTTCTCGGGAGGGAAAACACACAGACACTAATAATCGTCGATGGCCAAGAAAATACAAGCAAACTGTTGGAAGTGGATGGGGAGACGAAGCTTCCGAACATCTGGAACAAAGATGGGGAATCCTGGGATGTGTGTCTCTTCCTTTCCGTGTCCCTGGGCCCCGTTATTCATCGGGACAAAAAGCCCCTAGGCTCAATAAGACAGTGAAGACGTGGCCTCACGTAGGTCACCGTCTGTGCACGAGGGATAAACCAGCCGAGCAGTTTGGTCTAATACGTCTGCAGAACAGACCCCCGTATCCCTAATGCATTTTGGCCTTTCTATCTTAGGTCCCGTCCCAAAGGGTTAGGGCTGCTTTTATTGCTACTGTGGAAACCCATGCCACGAAACACCTTGCTTGCCTCCAGGGTGCCCTGGGTTTCTTGGGTTTCGATGTTTTTGCTGTGGAAAGCTTGACGTTCCCACACCCAAACCAATGGAAGTCCTGGGGTTCCAGGGTTGGATTTCTTGTGGATGGTTTCTCGTGGTCGAGCTCCTACTGTCATCAGTTGCCTCCATCCACCGACACCGGTTCGGGAGCCACGCTCGGGACCTGGCTCCGGCCTGCCCCCGGGGATGGCGCGCTGGCCGAGGTGGTCAGCAGCGCGTGGCCGCTGCGGCCCCCTTCTGGGAGGGCCGCGTGCGCCCGCAGAGGCCGATGGCGCCGACGGCGCGCGCGCGCGCGGGCACGTTTCTTGTTGCGCATGCCCCGTGCGGAGCGTACCCGTGCGACCGCTTGCAGTCGGACCGAGGTTCAAGATCGAGGTCGGTTCGGGGAGGGCTTGGTGAATGTTTTGGTGCATGCTGAGGAGGGTGCCCTTGGATGCTCTGTTGGTTTTGGACGACAGGGTCTCGTGTTCTTGAGGTATGTTCTTCTGTAATGCTCAGGTCCGACTGTATCCGTGCGACCGCGTATACACGGGATCGCGCCTGGAGATCCACAGCGCGAGGGTGCGTAATAATACTATTAATATGAATCACAATACGAAGAATAATCTGATCATAACATAATTAAGAAGAAAACGATACTACTACTACTACTACTACTACTACTATTACTACTACTACTACTACTACTACTACTACTACTACTACTACTACTACTACTACTACTACTACTACTACTACTACTACTACTAAGAGGAAGAGGGGGAGGACGAGGAGGAGGAGGAGGAGGAGGGAAAGGGTGTGGCGAAGGAGGACGAGGAAAAGGATGAGGTGATGGAGAAAGAAGAGGACGGTAAGCACGATGGATGTGCCGCGTTCGGCATTGTTCGGGAGCTCAGTGGCGGGGTTGTCCCCGCATCGTAGAGTGGCGGGTGAAAATGCTCGAAGGAGCAAGACGATGCGGGTGGAGGACGCCAAAGGAGTGGAGAAGTGCAGGCGGGACCAAGGAAGATGGGAATGGGGCGACTGGGGAAACAAGGAGGACGAGGGGGACGGCGGCGGATGCATTGTTCAACCTGACATGCAACAATTCGGCGTCTAATCGCGGGTTCGCCCAACCCGCGACCCGCGACGCCGACCCACCCGCGACACACCCGCTACACACCCCGCGACCCGTGCCTGCGGCGGGCTTCTTCAGAGCCTCTCAGACTGCCGACGACCTCACTGCCCCCTCACACTTATCCGCAACTTCGGGGTGCTACGTATATTTGGGAGCACAGGTTCGGGAGGCTGCGCGGGTCCCTCGTCTGTCGAACCATCTCGTCTGCCGCTGCCTTCTCGCCCTCCTGTTCTCCTGGGGGAGGGGCTAGGAAGGGAGGGAGGGAGGGAGCAAGAGGAGGAGCAGGGGCTCCTTCGCCTACCCCTCCTCCCTCCTCCAGCCCGGTCTTCGGCACATGGTCGTCGTCGCGCTGAGGATGCCTTCACGAGGCTACAGCTAACCCGCTCAGTAAGGATGGGCAACTTTCCAAGGTTACCCTTGCATCCTTTCCCTTCGGGCCATCCTTGGCCGCTTTGGCTGGCCGCGCCCCGCTTGCAAAATATCGGCATGACCTTCCAAGGCCCTTGCATCCTTACAGCGTGTCGTTAGTATACGGGTTGACTGCATACCATTTCAGCCCCCCCTTGTGCCAGTCGCTGCCGCCGCCGCAGCACCGACGCCGGCGACGCCCTCCCGAAACTTGTGCCTGAAGCCGAAGTCGCAGTGCCGAAGCCGAAGCCAAACCCTTGAGACCAGAAACCTTTGAAACCTGAGATGTCTAATCATGGGCCTGGAACTGGGAATCGAGCTTCCTGGCCATGACCCCACCACTTTTATTTCCCCCCATCCTCTCCTGCTCCACCCTCTGCAACCGAAGGCTGATCGAACCACGTAACTTGTATGTGTATCAGTCCTATTCCGGAAGCTGAATCGAGCTTTGAGACAAACGCGCGCGGTGAGCGAGTCAGCTTTTGTTTTAGTGGCATCACCCCCCAGATGTTGAACACAAGTAGGCAACAGCGGCCAGGTAAGTTCATACGGGCGACCGACGTGATCAAGCAGATGAAGTTCACCATCGAAGGCAGTCGCCTTCTTTGCGAAGATGAGTGATTGTTCCCCTCACTCCAGAATGGCGCGTGGCTTTCATGGATCAAGTCGCAATGGGTGTTCTTGGGTTCTGTTGCAGGGCTCTGTGATCACACGATACGCTCCGGCTCGTCCTCCGAAATCGATTTGGATCGTAGAGGCCTTACTGCGGGTTCCGCCGACCCCGAAGGGGGATCCGGAGGAAGGCCCCGAGGAAGGTCGCGGACCGGTAGAGGCTCGTTGGGGCCTCTCGGGAGCGTCTTGGAGGCCTCAGTGGGGGCTCTCAGGTGGGATCTTCGGGGGGCCTGCGGGCGTTCTCGGAGGCTGTCTTTCCGGGAATGGCTACACTCACAGTGCGGGTTCCCCTCTTGGAGCCTTCCTCGGAGGTCCCTTGTGAGCCTCTGGGGGCCCCTCGGGGGCTTCTTGGGGCCTTCTGGGGCTGCTTTGGGGCCCTCTCGGAGGCCCCGTGGGATGTTTTGAGGCAGACTGGGGGAACCGCTTTGGACCGTCTTGGGCGGTCGGAAACCCGTAAACGCGAGAACGCGAACATGTGTAAGAAACACTCGGAACATAGCGTTGGGGCTTCTCTCGGGGGTCGTCTTGGAGCCCTCCTGAGGGCGTCTTGGGGATATCTTGGGCCGTCTTGAGAGTACCTGGGTCTGTCTTGGAGTGCTCTTGATTTGTTTCAAGCCTCTCTTGGACCGCCTTGGACCTGAATTGCCGAAAGAGGGCGACATTTGCTTGAAGGCGGCCCCAAAAGGGAGGGGGGAGGGAACGTATTCACTCCTGTGACCCCTCCCCATGACCCCCCCTCCCCCGGAAAGGAAGGATTCAAAGGGAAGGGGCTTCCCTTCGGCTCACTTACGACCTCGATTGCGACCTGGCTCGATTCACCTCGGGTTGGCGAGCTTGGAGATCCAAATGTGGCCGCTAGGGAAATGGGGAGGAACTTCAATTGGAAGACGTCTCCTGGGACCGCCCTTAGACGACCAGCCCAGAACTCCCCTCACACACGCCACCAGGGTGGGCGGATTTTGATCCGAGGAACCTGCGCGCTGGATCCTGGCCTTGATGATCTTGCCAAGCCCATTCGTGGTGTATGCGAGGTTCACGCGGGGCCCATTCGCCATTGTCGGGCTGCTTCTTTCTCTCTTCTTCTCCTGCCTCTGACCTCAAGGCATGACAGCCACAGCTCTTGCTGCTCCTTTTTCGCTGCTCATTCTGCTCATGGTGTCCTTGTTGCCGTGCGCTATTGCAGCTTCTCGCTCGTGCAAGCCGAGTCGGCCTCGCACCGTCTTGCTTCACATCTAACCTGCATCGTTGCCTTGATCCGTTCCTTGTCTCGCTCGACCGATCTCTCCCCTGCTCCAGCCCCGGCACCTCCAATCCCAGAGGGGTCCGTGGACCTGGAGAATGGTCTGGGAACTGACTTTGAACGGAATTTGGTCGAACGTTGCCGCCGTCGTCGTCGTTTTTCTATTGCTCCCCGCCATTCCAACCCGTTTTCCCCTCCCACTCCTCCGTTTTGCCTTCCCCCCATTTCTCCTCCTTCCCCCTCCTCCTCGTCCGCCTTGTCCTTTGAACGTGTAGGAGATGAAACTAGGAGTGTCCGTATTCTTTCTTGTGCGGACCTGGTCTGGAATAGTTTGGGGCCGTCCCTTGCGGTATTTCGCCCTCCTCCTCGCATCCTACCACCCCCTCTTCCGCCTCTGGGAGGGGAGGGGGTAAACGGTAAACGGGGGATCAGGACTCAAAACATGTGGAACAGCAGCAGCACGCCGGCTCCGTCGGTCGACGAGGGCGACGAGCGCGAGGAGGACCGCGACGCCGCAGATTGATAGAGAGAGAGAGAGAGATGGCGATGGCTTCCGACGGCCCGACACGGCCTCACCGTCCTGCCCCAGCCGCTCCGCAGCCGGGCGCTCGCACCAGCTCCCCGTCCACGGCTCCACGTCCTCCACGGGCGAAGGGAAGAGCACCACCGCGCGGCGGCCGTGCACCACCGGAGAGCGCACGCCCGCGGCCGTCCTCCACGCCCGCGCACGCCCGCGGCCGGCCGTCCTCCGCGTTCGCCCACGGACTGTGGACGAAAAATGAGAAATAGCCAAAAGGTTTTTACCTAACAGCGAAGACTGATAGGTTTCTAGTAGTCTCAAAAGAGAGCAGCACATTACTCCAACATTACTCCACAGGGGGGTCTGGGCAGCCGTTGGGGAGCCGTTGGGGGCCGTTGGGGGGCCGTTGGGGTTTGCCGGGGGGGATCGTTTTTCGCATACAGTCACACACTTCCCAGTGCCACATTCTTCTGTAGGCCATTTCCCAGAACTCCAACTGTCCTTCGGGCCACTCCATTTTGAATGCCCGGAGCCAACTGTAGGCCACTTCGTGGTCTTCGAGTTCCCAGAACTCCATTCCTGGGCATGATTTTGAATGCCCGGAGCCAACTGTAGGCCATTTCGTGTTCTTCGAGTTCCCAGAACTCCATTCCCGGGCCACACTTTGAATGCTGAGGCAGGCTGATGCTGAGGCTGAGGCAGGCTGAGGCTGAAGGCAGACTGAAGCTGAGGACGAGGCTGAAGGCAGACTGAGGCTGAGGCTGAAGCAGGCTGAGGCTGAGGCTGAGGCAGGCTGAGGCTGAGGCTGAGGCAGGCTGATGCTGAGGCAGGCTGAGGCTGAGGCTGAGGCTGATGCAGGCTGAGGCTGAGGCAGGCTGAGGCTGAGGCCGAGGCTGAAGGCAGACTGAGGCTGAGGCTGAAGCAGGCTGAGGCTGAGGCTGAGGCAGGCTGAGGCTGAGGCTGAGGCAGGCTGATGCTGAGGCAGGCTGAGGCTGAGGCTGAGGCTGAGGCTGCAGGCTGAGGCTGAGGAGGCTGAGGCTGAGGCTGAGGCTGAGGCTGAGGCAGGCTGAGGCTGAGGCTGAGGCAGGCTGATGCTGAGGCAGGCTGAGGCTGAGGCTGAGGCTGATGCTGAGGCTGAGGCTGAGGCAGGCTGAGGCTGAGGCCGAGGCTGAAGGCAGACTGAGGCTGAGGCTGAAGCAGGCTGAGGCTGAGGCTGAGGCAGGCTGAGGCTGAGGCTGAGGCAGGCTGATGCTGAGGCAGGCTGAGGCTGAGGCTGAGGCTGATGCAGGCCGAGGCTGAGGCAGGCTGAGGCTGAGGCCGAGGCTGAAGGCAGACTGAGGCTGAGGCTGAAGCAGGCTGAGGCTGAGGCTGAGGCTGAGGCTGAGGCTGAGGCTGAGGCAGGCTGATGCTGAGGCAGGCTGAGGCTGAGGCTGAGGCTGATGCAGGCTGAGGCTGAGGCAGGCTGAGGCTGAGGCCGAGGCTGAAGGCAGACTGAGGCTGAGGCTGAAGCAGGCTGAGGCTGAGGCTGAGGCAGGCTGAGGCTGAGGCTGAGGCAGGCTGATGCTGAGGCAGGCTGAGGCTGAGGCTGAGGCTGATGCAGGCTGAGGCTGAGGCAGGCTGAGGCTGAGGCCGAGGCTGAAGGCAACTCAGGCTGAGGCTGAAGCAGGCTGAGGCTGAGGCTGAGGCTGAGGCTGAGGCTGAGGCTGAGGCAGGCTGATGCTGAGGCAGGCTGAGGCTGAGGCTGAGGCTGATGCAGGCTGAGGCTGAGGCAGGCTGAGGCTGAGGCCGAGGCGACGGCAGACTGAGGCTGAGGCTGAAGCAGGCTGAGGCTGAGGCTGAGGCAGGCTGAGGCTGAGGCTGAGGCAGGCTGATGCTGAGGCAGGCTGAGGCTGAGGCTGAGGCTGATGCAGGGTGAGGCTGAGGCAGGCTGAGGCCGAGGCTGAAGGCAGACTGATGTTGAGGCTGAAGCAGGCTGAGGGCGAGGCTGAGGCAGGCTGAGGCTGAGGCAGGCTGAGGCTGAGGCTGAGGCAGGCTGAGGCTGAGGCTGTGACTGCGACTGCTGTTGCCACTGCGACTGCCATCGCGAATGCGACCACGACTGCGAGAACAGCAGAATTCTACAACAGGATTCTTACCTGAATCTTAAGGGGAATGCTTCCAGATATGCTCCTACACATCGCTGTTAGGTTGCTTTGCCGGGATACTTAGAACATAATCAGAAGATAATGGAGAAATCGCCCCCATACTATTTTTTGAACATTTTTGAGTACTCCTCCTGTAGGGGGACATGCCCGACTGAATCCTCCCCTCCCCCGGGCACGACAGGCCAGGGCAGCGCGGGGACCTCCGCGAGGGCAGGTCGCCCGCCCACCTCGTCATTCCTGTCGTCGTCGCCAGAGGCGGGATCGAGGGCCGTCGACTCCGCCGCTCCCGATCCGCCAGTCGCCATGGAGAGGGGAACGGGTCCCGAGGGAAGGAGGTTCTGTGGCTCTTCGCCCTCGACGGGCTCCCGGGGCCCTCCGCGGGCTGACAGGGAACGACTCGGGATGAAGAGCTCGTCCTGGGGGAGGGCCCCAGGGTCCAGGACCTGTTTCCCACAGGACCCGCTTCCTCCATGCCGAGCCAGGCAGGCTAAGGCCGCCCTTGCCCGAGCTCTCGTCCTTGTGCTGCGCCGCGTGCGCCGCGCCGCCCTGCACGGCACTCCCTGCCATGCCCTCATCGGGCGGGGACGGGACGAGGCTAAATCCTTTGCAGATCGTTCAGGAGCGCTCTCAGATCATCCCGGAATGCTCTGAAAAGGCCGCGGCGCCCGAGACCTCATCCAGAGCCGCGGGATCTCAGAGATGCTCGATTCATCCTCGCCCGATGTTATCCTCGTCCTGGCTCCGTCTTGTACCTCAGTGTCTTCCTCCATCGCTGGTGCCACCAGGCCCGTTGGAGGAGAAGGAGGAGGAGGAGGAGGAGAAGGAGGAGGAGGAGGAGGAGGAGGAGGAAGCCGGAGGACGGTGAAAGAGGATCCCCTCCCCCCCTCTCTGCCCCCATCTCCCCCGCCCCCTCTCTCTCTCTCTCTCCTTTTTCCCCTTCCCCCTCCCCCGTGTGACAGGGGAGAGCCCCGTCTCCTCTCGCCCCCCTGCGCCCCCGCAGGCCTCGCTTCCCGCCGCCGCCCCCGACCGCCCCCCCTCCCAAGCCTAGGCCTGCAGCCAGACTTCGGGAGGCTCGACGGCCACCTCGGCAGGACTCAGAGCTGAGCGGGGGGGAGGCTCTCCTCGGCGGCGGGCCTGGGGGGAGTAGTGGTTCACCTTGGAAGAGTCTGTGGCTGTGGTCCCCCCACCCTATTCTCTCGGCGGTGAACAGGACTGGTCCTAAAACCTCCTCCTCCTCCTCCTCCTCCTCCTTGAGCTGGCGTTGAAGACTGCGAAGAACGTCGAACGAAGAGAGCCGCCACACAGTAATGAAGGTTGCCATTAAGGGGCTGAACAAGGAGGACAACATGGACCCAGAGGAAGTGAAGAGGCTGAAGGAGCGCCAGAAGGTACTGGACAGCACCCAGACATGATGGATGGCACCGAGATCTTCGCGGAAAAGTTCGGCTACCCCAAGTCGGAGGAGTCAACTACGGCAAGCTCATTCAGCGGCCACCAGTGAGTTCACCCACTGGAGCTTGCTGATTCGCCAAGGGGAAGCATTAGCAAGGTTTCTCGGAGTACTCTTAGGCATGCTGCGAGCTGGCCGTGCCCGCAAACAGTCAGGAGGAGCATTAGCGGGGTTTCTCGGAGTGCAACTCATGACAGTCAGCTGCATCGCCATCGCAAGTGGACGTATTTCTTGGAATACCGTCAGGTACGCTAACTATTGCAGGGTGTCGGAGGGAAAAAGAGCGAGCACCAGGAAGAGGAAGCCCACCAGACCAGTGTGCTCCTCGTTGGCCCTACCTTATACTGCGACTCGCAGTATCCTCTACCCCGCATGCACTTCGAGGGGGAACGATGAGTTACGTCAACAGAGTACCAGAGTACATATGTGACAATGCATGGGACATCTCTCGGAACGACCGAGAAGTGAGCCGAGCGGGAGAGGGGGGCAAGGACGTCAAATTGTATACTAACCACACAAAAAACAGTTTGGGGTCTCGGGCCTTCCGCCTCTCCCCCCTCTCCTCCTTGTCAGGTCGTGTCGCCGTCTCCTCCCCTGGCTTGGGCGCCCTGCTACGCTCGCGCGCCCCCTCCCGAAGGCCACGCGGAAGGGCCAGTTGCCTTCCCCCCGCACTGACCCGAATGGACTCGTGATGTAAGGTAGCGGGCCTCTCTTTCGGGGCCACCTCGGAGCTCGGTCCTTGAGCTACGTGGTGTGCCCCCTGCTCTCAAGGCAGGGTTGTGCCGCAACAAATCGCAGGGGATGTTGATCGTGGAGCGTAGATCACCTGAGTCGGTGTTCGGACGTTGTACCCACTTATGTGGATGTCCTGTCCTGTCTTCCTCCTCCTCCTCCTCCTCCTCCTCATCCTCCTCCTCCTCCTCCTCCTCCTCTTTTTCCTAGTGCGACCGCTACTGCTAGTCGGCGTCTTTGTTGTGCGGCGGGCGCCGCAGGGACACAATTAATTGTTTCCGTTATTGGTGGGCCACCAGTCCGTGAATCAGGCCGCCGAACAAGTGATTTGTTACCCCCTATGGGGGGGAGTGTGTTTTGCCATCGTGTCGTCGGGGTTCGGGGGGCACCGCGCTGCCTCGTCGGGCATCCTCGGGGCGCGGCGGAAAACTCAGTCGAGGTGTTCGCCCGCCCGCCAGGGTGCGGGTTGCAGACCGCACCCTTTGCAGACCACGCCCTTCGGAGTCGCCGAACAAGGTCGGTAAACAATTTGGCGTTTTCAGAAGGCGGCGGGGCTTCTGAGGAACCCTCGCGCTCTCTGAGAAGTTATGTTGTGTCTTCGGGGACGGCTAAGAGGCATGATTCGAAGGCTGGAGGCCTTTCGAGCATTCTGACAAGGTCCGCCCCCTCTCGCTTCCTCCCGGGCGCACCGCCGAGAGAAGGCACCGCAGGCACGCCAAACCAGAACTTGTCTCGTCAGCAGGTGCCCCACGGAAGTTTCTTATCCCCCGATGGCCCTGTGGGGGGGGGGGGGCAAGGATCTGGGCCTCCCAGGGGCCAGGGTGGATGGTAGATGGGGGTCGGAGGATCGCGCCGCATCGCCGAAGATTCGCCGATGCGTCTCGATGTGGGGCCCGACTTGCTTCACGTCGACGGCGCCGCTGCATCGCCAACGTCGACGATGCATCGCCGGTGCATCGCCGATGCATGTCCAACGCATCGCCGAGACATCGGCGATGTATCGGCGATGCGGCGCGACCCTCGTACCCCATCTACTCCAACCCCATCTGGGATTAGGAGGCCTCTGAAGGAAACCTTTGGGCAACTCGGGGAGCTTGAAGCTCGATGCCGGGCGTGCCCCCAGCCTTTTCGTAGCAGGAGTTCTCATCGTACGCGCCTTCTGCGCGCGGTGGTCGGTGTCGGAAGACGACCGTGGTTCCTCCTTCCCTTTCCTCCCTGCTCGTCCTCCCCGTCCACCTTCCCTGCCGAGTGCCGCAGTGCAGGTGGGCCAGTCGCTCCAGGCATGGCTTGGTATGCTTATCCAGACTTGGACCTCTGACATTGCAGAGGTAGCGATTGTCGTGTCGATGCGGCGGTGACTCCGGCGCGGGTGTTCAAGGTTGGAACGCCGCCAATCGCTCGGAATCGACCGCCATCGAACGATCTGCGCTGTCGGGAAGACGCGATCGTGCTAGGTCGAACGATCCACGCGGTATCAGAAGCCAACGTCGCAGTCGTCACGACACGAACCTGCCAGTGGCCTGTTGTGGTCAACTGGGGCTGATTATTCCAGACGCTTCGCGTAACCCCACCAGCTTTGTCCGCGGCCCGTTCGCGACCTTCCGCCGCTGGCGCTTCTGCCTGCGGCTGTAAAAAAAAAGTAACCCCACCAGCCCATCCGGAGACGATGCCCAGGCGAGTTGCCCTAATCAGGCATGTGGAGGGGCACGCAGTGGAATAAAGGGCCGGGAATCCGTCATACCCCAACAGGGGGAGGATGGAGGAGGAAGCAGAGGATCAGGAGGAGGGGGAGGGAGGGAGGGAGGAAGGAGAAGGGAGGAGGGCGGAAGAGGATTCGGCGGATGAGGACGAGGAGGATGAAGAGGAGGAGGAGGAGGAGGAGGAGGAGGAGGAGGAGGAGGAGGAGGAGGAGGAGAACGAGGAGGAGCAGGAGGGCGAACAGAACGGCCAGAGGCCTCTTGGATGCCTCTCGGAGTCTCTTTGGATGTCTCTTGAGAGCTTCTCGTAGGCCTCTCTTGGTGGTCTCTTGGCAGTCCCTGGGGCCGCTTGGGGCGTCTTGGGTGCCGCTGGGGGGCCTCTTGGGAATCTTTTGGGTGCCTCTTGGGGGCCTCTTGGGGGCCTCTTGGGGGCATCTTGAGGCCTCCTGGGGACCTCTTGGGGCAGTCTTGGGACCCTCGGGGGCCATCTTGGGGCCATCTTGGAGGAGATTGGAGGGCGGCTCTTGTAGGAGGGTCCCCCACAGGAGGCCAAGATGTGGCAAACACCTTCGTAAGATTACTGTGGGTGGCCTTCTCGCCGAGGCCATCTTGGACGCTTCAACCCCTCACGAAACGCCCCGTCCAGGTCCAGGGGGAGGGAGTAGGGGGAGGTAGTAGGGGGAGGGGTCAATCTACCCTCCTGTTTAGCTCACTCCCACCCGCCCTCCCGACACACAAGTAAGACCCGAGTGTCAGCAGATCGCCCAGGAACGCCCCACACATGCCGTGCGCGCCACGGGTTCCAGGCGTGCACCCGGCACCCTGGAGGCCCAAGCGTGCCGGGTGCGGCGCGTGCTCCACGGGCGCCAACTGTGCCACCTGCTCCAGCCACGCCAGGTGCGCCAGCTGCGGGGAACTAAACAGGGGTTCTGGGCGCCCGGGGCCCTGGCCCCAGGGAGTGCCGGATCTCGGCTGCTCCCGCGGCGAAGGGCCGAGCGTCTTGCGAGCGGGGCGGCTCCCCCAGGGAGCGCAGAGCACCGACACCGATGGACAAGCTGTGCCAGCTTGAGGAGTCGTGAAGCAGATGAGAGCTCAGAGGCAAGAGGGCCCTGTGCATGCTTCAGATTTGGAGCCAGAGTGTATTTGGTATCGTTTCTGTATTGACAGGAATGGTTGGCCTGCGCGCATCAAGCACTATGCGGCGCCCCAGCCGTCCCAACCATAAACCAGCGCAAAGTGGTCGCGGGACGCCCGCGCAGCTCCGAATTTGGAGGCAAAGTGCATTCTGTATTGTTTGTGGTACAAGGGATGGTGGGCACATTCTCATTTGTCGGGGTTGGCTGCTGGTCGCCTGGGGTATGGGGTGTTTATTCACAGGGGATGATGATCAACCCCTCCCGAAGGGCAAGAAGGGGGGCTGGAAGCTGGAACTCCCTGAGCTGCTCACGCCCTCAAGGGCTCGCGGGATCATAGCCGCGCTCGGTGTTTAATGCTCGGGGAGGCCTGCCAGCGTCGACCCATAGCAACGCGTGCTGAACATTTAGACACTGTCTCCCATGCGCTCAAGCCAAAGAGCCGAGCAAACCATAGCAAATCTCTGAGCAAAGAGGCGCAATCGTGTAATTATTGCTGTTTGCTTTCAGGCTCAGCACATCATCCATTAACTTGGCCTCATGGCCATTCTCAATCTCGTCCTCCCTCACCTCTGACCTCTTCTCCTCCTTTGCTGGGCCCAGATAGTCGCTGGTGGCGGGGTGGGGAGACTGCAGGCCTTGGCGCCTTGCCTTCTCTGGTGCCGCTTTCGGCTCCTCTCTCGGCATCGTCCAGCCGATTCCCATACCCATTGGGCAGTGGCATCTGAAGCCCATCAGTCCCCCCCCACGTGGGGATAGATACCGCGAATCCTGGAGGGAGCAGAATCTATCCCCACCCAGAGGGTACGTCGGCCAGAGGGGCCTTGCCGTGCTAGTGTTGGTTAAGATCAGTTAAGCGGTGCTAGCCCTGGAAGGCTTCTTGGGATCATCTTGGAGGCCATCGATTACAGGATGGGGGGGGATCCCAACTCAGCTCCCCCCTCTTTGGGCTCTCTTGGAGCGCTCTTGGAGGGGTCTTGGGGCCGTTTGGAGCATCTTGGAAGCCATCTTGAGCCAGCTTGGACCATCTGAGCCTTCTTGGAGGTCATCTTGGGCTCGCTGAGGCCGCTCGGGGGCCT